TTGAATGTTTGTAGGCAGCTGGTTCCACTGTTGCATTGCTCTGACAGTGAGGAATCTTTTCCTGATGTCCAGCCTGAATCTGGGCTGCTGCAACTTGAATTGATTTGAAGGGATGGTGTGGGCTGTAGGGATAGTGTTCACTGTAATTAGTGTTGCCATGAAGCTCTGCGGTGTCTATCCCTATTAATTTGATGGACTTACTCTCAGTTCAAACCTTTATTAGAAAGGTGTCAAGCCAAGAGGAAGTTCATGAAAAGGTTGATGTCCAGTTGCACCCCTGCCAACCTCCTTCCATGTCACATACAGTAGAAGGGAACGCTGGAAATCAAGTGCAGTGCTGATTCCTGGTTACTGTCATGTGACTTATTGGTGCACTCACCAGAGAGTGGAACTCACAGTTCAAGGAAGCAGGCGGGAGTTCAGGGAACTGAGACCAGTGAATCCAATGGACTCCCCACACCAACATGTATTCCATGCACCTCTCCAGGTGCAATTTCTCAAAATGGTACTTTCAGAACTATGTAGGGTGGACATTCATATACATTCTAACAAACCCTCCTGAACTGGGATGGGAGGCAGATGCTGCACTGGCCAAGTCAGGCCAAGCTCCCCTCCCCTCTCAGGGTTCCTTTCAAGAGTGCGAAGTCACCCTGGGGATTCTTGCTCAGGTGCTTTCCTCCAGCCACACAACTGTACATGGAAAGTCCAAGCCTCTGCAGGACTGATACATTTCCTTCTGTATAATTATCAGCATCATAGTGATTTCTTCTTCTCCCCAAAGCCGTAGGGATTTCCAAAAAGAAGTTTGATGCCAATGATGTAAACATCAGGCCCATGTACAACAGGAGGTGAAGTCTTGCACTCAGGGGGATCCCCCCCAAGAGTTGGGGAGGGGCTTAAAGCAGGAGGAAAGTATTGCATGGTGTGAGGCTCACTCCACATATTCCCCTTGACCTACAAGCCCACAACAGGCTGGGCTTCCCCTGCATCTTGCAAAGGGGCTTTGGGTTTTGCTGACAATCCTTCTAGCTCTTTGAGAGGAGCAGGCAGGATGTGGCAGCTGGAGGAGGGGCACCCAGAATGTTTGCATTCCTTCTGTTGCTGCTGCTTCCCTGCTCCACCTGTGGGATGCAAAGGTCCAAATGCCCCCTGACTTTGAGAAGGGGGGGACTTGATCTGTTGAACCATTACAAACCTGGGGATCTCTTCCTTAGTGGGATCATATCAGCAACAAGCGCCATGTTTCTCCCATATCAGTTCCAAAAGCCTCCCTCCCCAAGCATTTACTGGTAAGTCACTCTGTGCCTTATT